CTCTTGAATTTTTGGCAAAAAATGTGCGGCCTATACATGCGTAAATACGGTACTTGATGTCCGATCATTCAGGGCAGCAGATTGTGATACTGACCACTACCTGGTGGTGGCAAAGGTTAGGGAGATACTGGCAGTGAGTAAACAAACAACACAAAAAATCATATGGAGATGTTCAATATCAAGAAATTAAATGAGGTAGAAGGTAAAGAGCAGTATCGTGTTGAAATCTCAAGTAAGTTCACACCTTTGGAAAACTTAGACACTGAGGTGGATATTACTAGAGCTTGGGAAATCTATTAGAGAGAATATAAAAATTTATGCCAAAGAGACTCTAGGTTATGAATTGAAGAAGCATAACCCATGGCTCGACGAAGAATGCTCAAAATTATTAGACCAAAGAAAGCAGGCCAAATTGCAGTGGTTACAGGATCCATGCGAGTTAAATGGGGATAATCTGAACAATATAAGACGCGAGACCAGCGGGCATTTCAGGAACAAAAAGAGGGTATATCGGAAAGACAAAATTGATGAGCTTGCAATGAACAGTAAGAACAAGAACATTAGAGACCTGTATAGAGGAATAAATGACTTTAAGAGGGGTTACCAACCTAGCAGTAACTTAGTGAAGGATGAGAATGGCGATCTGCTTGCAGATTCCCACAACATTTGGATAGGTGGAGGAACTACTTCTCTGTTATTGTACGTACATAGAGCCAGTGATGTTACGTAGACAGAAATGCACACAGCTGAGCCGTAAACACCTGATCCTAGCCCTTTTGAGGTTGAAAGTGCTACTGCAAAATTGAAACGGTATAAATCGCCAGGTAGTTATCAAATTCCGGCAGAACTAATTCAAGCAGGAGGCGAAATATTACGTTCTGAGATCTGTAAGTTTATGAACTCTATTTAGAATAAAGAAGACCTGCCTGATCAGTGGAAGGAGTCTATTATTGAACCATTTCACGCGAAGGGCGATAAAAATGACTGCAGCAATTTTCGCGGGATATCACTGCTTTCAATTTCGTAAGAAAACTTTATCCAATATTCTTCTCTCAAGGTTAAGTCCATACATAGATGAAATTACTGGGGATCATCAGTGTGGGTTTCGACGTAACAGATCAACTACTGATCAGATCTTTTGCATTCGTCAGGTACTGAAGAAAAAAATGGGAGTATGATGAGACAGTACATCAGCTATTTGTAGATTTCGTTACATAAAGATAGCTAACAGATGTTTTGAAAATGTGGCACAGTTCAGATATCTGGGAACGACTATAACAAATCAAAACCTGATTCAGAAGGAAATTAAAGAGGAGATTGAACTCGGGGAATGCTTGCTGCCATTTAGTCCGGAACATTCTGACTTCTCGGCCGTTGTCTAAAAACATAAACATTAGAATATACAAAACTATAATTTTGCCTGTGGTTCTGTATGGGTGTGGAACTTGGTCTCTTGTAATTAAGGGAGGAACATAGACTGAGGGTGCCTGAGGTGCTGAGGAGAATATTTGGGCCGAAGAGATATGAAGTGATGGGAGGTTGGAGAAAAGTACATAATGAGGAACTTCATATCCTGTACCTTTCGCCAAGTATAATTAGATTGATCAAGTCAAGAAGGATGAGATAAGCAAGGCATGCAGCAAGAATGGGGAAAAGAGAAATGCATATAGGATTTTGGTGGGTAAGCGAGATGGAAAGAGACCACTGGGAAAACAGCGTAGTGGGTGGACAATATTAAAATGAATCTGAGAGAGACAGAATGGGGTAGTATGGACTGAACTGATCTGGCTCAAGACAGGGACCAATAGATGGTCCATGTGAACACGGTAATGAACTTTAGGTTTCACAAAATGCTGGGAAGTTCTTGAGTGGCCGCACAATTGGCGGTTTCTCAAGAAGGGGTCAGCTCCATGAAGTTGGTTCAGTTTTCTCTTGCACTATCACTGGATGCAAAGGAACCGCATACTAAACAGATACCACTGTTATAAGCAAATAAAATGTCGCATTCTTCATTAGTGTTGTACTTACAGAAACACTAAGTGCAATACATCCTTGGATGTTGATACTTATACTATGGGCCTGGGGTTGACTCAGCCTCTAACAGAAATGGGTACCAGGAGTAAAGGGCATCCGGCGCGTAAGGCTGAGGGCCTCACCGCCATCTGTAAGCCTACTGTCTAGAAAATGTTGGAGCCTCGACTTCTCACAACCCTATGGGCCTCCACGTCATGTTACAGGGATAAGTTAAATTTTACTAGTATATTATGAATAGAGATCGCATACAGAATTGCCTATTAACCGTGTAAGCTTACTATAACAAAATTATAAATACTGATCACTTCTTTAATATTATCCGTGCTATAAGGTGGACATTGTGCCCCCCCACACAGGATCGCGGTATTTAGTGTTGCAGGCGTACCTGGGCACAAATTAGAAATAGAGACAGGATTGGTTCAAATAGTTCTCAGCCAGGAGATGCAAACAGTAGCCGGCTACTAACACAGACGTTCCAAATTACCGCCATGTCTCAAATACCTCACTGGCCAGATACAGCCACTGCAATAGTGATCAGGCCCTGCAACAGTAGCCAGGTAGGATTGCAAACTAAAGCGAAGTTTTTAACAGGACAGCCCTATCTACCGGATAAAGGCACCAAAAGAACAGGTAAAGTTGACCCTCTGCTTATCTAATTAAGCACTACGCCATGAAGGCGTATGGGGGAGTGGATGTATAGATCCACATTTTCTTGACCTCCATACTACTTGGTGGTGAGTGGTCAGCTTCAAGCACCGGTCGCTTTACCCCCGGGGAAAGAGCCCTCGGTACCAACTGGATAGGGACGTGGAGAAGCCAAAATTCTTTACTTACTGGGACTCCGACCCCTTGGTCGTTCCACAAATATACGAAATGACAGGGTCTGCAGCTGCAGAGAAACGGGAAATTGTGGCAGGCTATAGGGCCTATGGTAAATTAACAGCCGGACAGGCCTATACAGTCGTATTAATGTTGAAGCTGTAAATAGTAGCCGAGAACGAGCGAGAAATCGCAAGCAGCGGCCATGTCTCTTCCTGATAATAGTCAGTCACTAACAGAGAACATGTTGCATGCAGGTGACCGTGAGTAAACTGATTATCCAGTTAGGTGTCGGCACGCACAGGCCAATGTTTATAAAAATGCCAGTTCCTGCACTGATCATTTTAAAGAAAGGAGAATAGTTACTGTATTCATCTGAATTCAATTAGGCCTATCGCACTGTGATTCCCCACATACTTCATTAAACGTCGAGGCTTCAATGTTATGCCCTTGGCATAGTCTGTGCCCAGGCACTGTCTCAACATTTATGTTGTTTACGAATATTCCCATTAACTCACCACTCTTAAGTTCATTCTTCCCAATTTGTTACTGATTATATTCGCAACGCTTTGAGCAGTAGCAACCTTTGCGCTAAAAACTAGAAAATATATGTTCACTACCATGTTGAGGTAGTGAGGCTACACAGACTTGGGGTTCTACGCTACAGAATATTCGATATCCTGGCCGTGCGTCGTTCTGAATGTTACTAAATGACTTGAAAGCTCAGGCTGAATTAGGCTTATATTGCAACGTTTACTTCATGTATCGTGTGGGCTTCTGATGGACAATAGTCCTAAGTCCTTGTATTTGCCAAATTAAGAACTACACACAACTTTCCGTAAAAAAATATTGTTGTATGCTCCTAACTGAATATATCGTACTCTTTGCAGTGAAATAAACTTAAAAAAAACTTTATAAAGTTCTAATATCCTAGTCTTTGTCGGAAAATATTTATTTTAAGCTCTATTTTCAAACCACCCTACCCCTTACTATAAAGTACCCTCTCAAATGAATAAAACGTTCCACGTTACGACTTATCATATAATGTCCAAATTAGAAATATTTTGTTCTTTTCCATGAATCATCTGGGCAGTGTTATGAATTCATAATATGCTGATCTGTTTCTCGGAATCGCGTGGCAGTGTCTAAATTCAAAGTAATGTACTGTCGCAGAAAGCTGCCTGTGAATCACAACTTTCTGTTTACAGGAGAGTTGAAAAGGCGGGCGAAATGCCGCCACGTGTGCTGTGAAACACGCGCCCAGTTGTGGTTTCAACCCGGGCCTCCCTTCACTTCGCCGCCAACCGAAACATCGACCTGCGCTCGTACGCCTACTTGTCGCGGTACATACCGTGTACCAACGCGTGGTTCGCCCATGTGCACTGGACACACGATGCCACAAAATGGCATTCTACGAGCTGTAATGTTTTACGGTGAAACTATGAAAATGTCATGATACAAGAACGTAAATATCTTTACATTATTGGTACGTGCTAATATGCCACCGAACAACAACCTACTTTTGTTTGTGACTTAATCTGCTGAGGAATAAACACCCCATTCTCTACCTCAACCACCTTAACCCCTGAACAATAAGAAACGCCGCCAAATTCTATAAGTTTCATTATCATAAATTACTTGTTTAGATTTGGTTCCCTGGGCGTCAATAACTTGCAACAATAATGTTAAACTTCCGTTGTGTGCAGCCCCTACCAACCAGGAGTCACGCGGGACAGACCATTTGCATAGAAAGATCGAGTAAATGCATTAAGTCATTACATCGGGTATTATAGTACGGGCAAACAATGAGTACGGAAATTACACGCACAATTTTGTTGGCAATGAGACCCAACACCTAGCTCTAGCTTTGGGTTGAGTATTTCGAATCTTCTGACGTGGTGTTGTGAAACAAACAGAAAAAAAAAACACTAAACAACACAGCCACCAGTACAGCGAAGGGAGAAAACAAGGAGGAAACCTCCCTCGTCAGTGTCGTAACTTGCCTCTTTCGTCTCTCTCACCCGCGCACTGCCGTCACTCACTCACTCAGCTGTCACTCACGTCAGCTAGCAAAAACACGAGCACAAGCCTCGAAAAATCGAAACTCTCCTCAAAGCTATGTACAGTCGTGCACATGTAATACTTACATTTCATTCGCTTGGGGCAATCCTGTTTCCTTCGTGGCATTGCTCGTCTGGAGAACCGCTGCGACAGGATTGGTGGCACCAGATGATGGTTAGGTCCAAAACGACGACAGCCAAACGCCGAGATGATGTCTAATATAGAAACTTAGGCTACAAATGCGACACGGTCATTTTATCTTCACCGTAACGCACGACCACACCACACACAGAACTACCGTCAAATGGAGGTAGGATGATTCTTCGTCGGTTTCTTGATCTTCCTCTTCACTGTCGCTTGTCCACCGCACTTGCGAACGCCTGTGTGACATCACTTAGCACGAAGATGTTATGGATAGCACCAAGGGAACCTGTTATAGAAGCTACACGTACATTCTGCTGCTTTCGGTCGTGCTGGCGACACGGCATCTTATGTCTGCGTGACACAATCTGCGCAATACTTTCTCGTTCTTAAACAACACGAACAAACTGAACGCACGATGTGAGTAACACGGTGCCAAACTTGCCCACCGCAATCACAGACACTGCACCGTCATTCTCAGAACTGTCTTCTCAAAACACGAAACTTCCTTCTTCTCCTCAAGGTGTCCTTCAACTCTGGTCTGCAGCACAATCATGGACATACAAAGAGCAAAGTTGGCTGTAGAAATGTCAAATGCGGAAACTGAGTCAGGTTGAATGCAACGAGGACAAGCAGTCAGCCTGGTACGAAAGACACTGACTGACTGGATGCGTGACACTCCGCCTGCCCTCTCCACCGGCACTGGTACGGTAGACACATAGACGCGGCGCAATCACCAGCCACTCCGTGGTCCGGTCGCCGCTCGGGGTCTGTCGACTCGATCTCTCTCGCTCGCTGTCAACTCCTCGTCACAGAGGATCCCGAAAATCTAAACGAGCCTGCTACGGTACGAGCAAACCTCATGGGTTCGGACATGACGTCATGACAGGTAGGCGGGAACCCACCAAGTTCCGCCTTCTTCTCCCCACTACATTCATACTGGAACTTCGTACTTGGAACTTGGAACTGTACTTACAGAGGTACGAGAAAGACTGACATGAGACTTGGGCAAGTTTCTGCTGTTTTCAGGAGATTTCAGAACTTCTACAGAGAGAGGTCAGTAATCACTTTATTCTATGTGTATTTTAAAACCTTTATAACTTATAATTCTACCTTTATCACTCTACAGTTGTACGCACACAACGAAAATAACGTGTTACATCTACATAACCTCTAGTCTTGGCATCCATTTTGACCACCGTACTAAATAATAGCCTCGCTGCACCAACAAAGAACGGTTTCCACCTCACCGAATGTTGGTCATTGAACAAGCAGAGATACTACATAGAACGTTCACAACAGAGTATGCTGGACTGTTCTTGTGCTGTGTAGGACTGTGTAGATGCCCTTCAATTATTTAATCCAGTATTAATTATTATATGTACAGTGAACTGCCCGCTTCGCGCGAACCCCGTGCGAGACTATATAGTTGGACAGACTTGTCGCTAGGTGGCAGCACAAGTCGAGTAGCGAATTCGTGAAGTTCCGGAAGATTCTCGATTAACCAATCACGATGCCTGTTCTTCAGACACAAAGAATGGCGGAAATTAAGAAATGCGTTATTACGGAGTTGATTGATGAAACTGTAGAAATAACCATAAATATGTACAGTTCTCTTTTGTCACATGGATATCTCAAAAAGAATTTATCGATATGTAAACGCAGCAAATTATGTTATTGCTGTCACTCTAAAATAAGCACAAAAGAAATTTTAACATTTTAGGCCAGCCTCCAAACCATCACACGTTTTTATGACAATATAGCCAGCCGGACTAGAATTAAAATTTCTTCCAGCTAGTCTCATTATTCGACAATGGAGTAAATAAAATATGTCTTATATATCGTAGAATTATGCAGTGCTTAGTGCGGAGGAAGTGGGGTCTTGTGTATATCTCGATCAGCTGGATGATTCTCAGCTTCTCAAGTAGTGCACTGCTCTTGGAGTTGGTGTTCAGCTTCTTGTGAAGTAGGTGAGATAATAACAGTATTGAACTAATTGAATAAGAGTGTTTGAGAACAGGATGTTGAGAATATTTGGACCGAAGGGACATGAAGTGACAGGAGGTTGGAGAAAACTGCATAATGAGGAGCTTCATAACATGTACTCTTCTCCATGTATAATTAGAATGATCAAGTCAAGGAGGATGAGATGGACAGGGCATCTAGCATAAATGGGAGAGGAGAGGAATGCATGTAGGATATTGGTGGGAAAGCCAGAAGGAAAGAGACCACTGGGAAGACCAAGGCGTTGGTGGGTGGAAAATATTAAAATGGATCTTAGAGAGATAAGATGGGATGATATGGATTGGATAGATCTGGCTCAGGATATGGACCAGTGGAGAGCTCTTGTGAACTCGGTAATGAACCTTCGGGTTTCATACGATGTTGGGAATTTCTTGAGTAGGTGCAGAATTGATGGCTCCTCAAGAAGGGCTCAACTCCAAGAGTAAGTAAGTAAGTTCCCTGAGTTCGCTAATTGGATCTCTAAATTTATTTTAGCCTATTAATATTTTTGTTAACATTGCTCCAGCAAACCTAGTAATTTTTAAACGTTTTGAAACGAGTTTTTACGTACAGTTAGAATTACGTATAGTGCCACGCGTTAAGCCACTCTGTATGGGTGATGGATTGGAAATCGGATTCCATTCACATATCATACAGAGACTAATGTCCTCAGTCACGTTGCCTGGCAGCTGCTTCCAATGGCGAACGTTTCTCTGTTTCCGTGCTCACGTCCTTGCAGACTGGCCACCATATGACGACAACCTCCTACACCAAAGTCAAAATCAAAGTTATGTTTCGACCGACGGTCAGTCGGCCAGTCTATCTCGGTGTCAAGCAACCATTTGGGGCCCAAGACCAGATTTGTGTTACTGTCAAGACAGTTGCGGGTTTATTGATGTGGGGCGCCCTCTCTGAGGACAGGACGGATCTGTTGTTTACAATTGCTACCGGCCCTCGCCGTTTTGCTTAATGTCTCTCAATACAGTTTCTGTGACGGCGATTCTTCTGCCTCGGCCCCACTGAGCTCTGTCATGATCTGCTGAAATGCCGTTGCGACTACTGTGAACGCGTGTTCAGGGAAAAACTGTTTGCACTAGGAGCCTGAACTTACTGACTTGGTACTTATTGGTTGTGCCTCGGGGGGGGGGCACTCGTTTCTGCCGCTGTGGCGGGACAGGCCAGTGCAACTGAGGGCGGCTGGGGCTGCTGTTGCTGTGTGTTGCTACAGAGCACCGCCGCGAAGGACAGTCCTGGGTGATGGGGCTGGAAGTTGTAGCCTCCTGATCTCTCTGCAACTTTCTCTTTGGCATCTCTTCCTTGGGGTGCCTGCAGCCTCGATAGTTGGAGGGATGAGGTTCCGCTCCGTCCACCAACTTGCTGTTGCAGCATGTCGGTATTGATGCTGTATTGCCCTTTTGCGGGCATTCCTTGTGCAGGTTACCGCCCCCACACCACAAACAACGAGGAGGTTGCTTGCAGTTCGCCCAGACATGGCCGGATTATTGGCAGTTGTAACATTGTGTGAGACCAGTCTGGGCTTCGTGTGTCTCTATCCTGATTGCAAAATGACAAATGCTTGTCAGTTTGAATATCTCGTGGGACTCTGGCGTCCTAAGTAAAGTTATTAGGAAGAAGGGAATGTTTATTTTGGTTGTTCCTTCTGCAGGCTATCGACGGGTGGTAGATATTTGTTTGACTCAAATAATATCAAAGTCATGGTTCACTAACCCATCTGAGATGTCCTCTGCAGGAGCTGAGACTGGAAGATGCCGTATCAGAGCCTATAGAGGTATCTGAGGTTTGGGGTAGACGGTGAAATAAGGGAGGTTATTGCCCTCGAAGTGAGGGCATATGGCTGAAAAAATCGCCATTCCTTTCGTGACAACTCTGGTCCCGTGTCTGGTGCTACGGAACCCAAAATTAACTTCCAGTAAGCGCTTCAGATGCCTTTGCAAGTGGTTTTGTATGGGTGTGAAACTTGGTCTCTGACATTAAGGGACAAACATAGACTGAGGGTGTCTGAGAACAGGGTGTTGAAATTGATCTGGCTCAGGATAAGGACCAGTGGAGGGCTCTTGTGAACACGGTAATGAACCTTCAGGTTGCATGAAATTTTGTGAAATTCTTGAGTAGCTGCGCGGCTGGCTCAGCTCCATGGGGTTAGTTTGTTAGAAGTGTAGCCCGCGCCTCTAACCAGTAACACTAACGGTATTTCATCTAAGGCTCAGCAGTACTCTTTGAGAATGGAACTTTCAATGGGTCTGTAAGTGCAGCCTGTTCTTTATTTTTTGAACGTAAACGAACTTGATGAGTCTATACAGCTCAGTCGATATAACAGCGGACTACGGGCTGAACAACCGGAGTCGATTCCCGGTGTGCAAGAAGTTATTCTGTACTCCATAGTGTTCAGATCGACTGTGGGGCCCACCCAGCCGCCTATGCAAATGGTAGCGTGGTACCCCCCGGGGGTAAAATTGTGAATCTGATCACTTACTTCCATCTATTGCTGAGGACAAGAATGGTGGAGCCATACCTCCACTCCCCATACGTCTTCATAGAGTGGTGCTTAATTAGTTAAGCACAGATACAACTTCACGTTTTTTCACCTTACGTAAATGAACGTGACGTGGCTCTCCCCCTCCCCCCATTATAATTCTATAGGCCCGGTGAACTTTCCGTTTGATGGCGACAACTAGCGAAGGATTTAATCTTCACATGCTAATTCTTTATGGAGACGGGCCATTACCAGGTAGGCACAGGACTACAGATGTTTTCCCTTAATCTAAGAGTTCCTACAGGCCCATTTACACCAATCACAGTGGCCGAGCCGTCTAAGGCATGAACTGTCTTCGCGCCCTCGACCGCTGGGATCGTGCGTTCGAATTCCACTCGAAGCATGGATGTCTGTCTGCGTTTATTATATGTTCGTATTGCTGCCTTGCGACTGGCTGATCCCCCGTCCAAGGAGTTCTACNCATGTCGGAGACGCGAAACTTAGCTGTTCTGGCATAAGGTTATATGATAAATTACATCGCTTACATAGTGGGCATCTGTACTGCTCGAAATTAGGAACATACACGGAAATGGATTACTGTTTGGATAATTAGATATTTGTGTATGATTTTTATAACCTCATCATATATGCTTGGGAACAGAACTATAGAATATATCTGGAAGAGGGGTCACAAGTTACCCCAGAACTTCTTGTTAGAAGCGTAATGCCCATTAGTCAGAGCCCATACTCCGATTCTGAAGTCCTGCCTTCAGTAAGATTTGGAAATTCGATGCATGTCTACAGTAAGCCTTAATGAACTTTAAGACATGAGTATTCAAACCTCCAAAACCGAGCGTATTAACTCAGGCGGCAACTCAGTGACAAATGCGGAAGTTATGCCCACTCGGTTCGATTCTCGGCCGGAACAGTAACCTTAGCGACTGATATATTTTCATGGGTTTCCTCAGTCCCAGATATACCTTTAATTTGGCGCCGACCACTTTCAATATTCACTTTTATCGAGTGATTCACCACAATAGGCCTGTAATCTGCGTTCATAACAATGCCGAGAAGTCAAGGCGCAAAGAACCCACTTCGAAAATACGTGTATGCCTATTCTGAATTTATGTACTTGTTCACTGTTCACATTTCTTGTAGATATGCGCTAGAGCATTGATCTGAGGACAAGTGTCCGAATTTCCGCTCTGTAATGACGAAAAGAACAAGAAGTAACATTGCAGCTCCATGCATGTCATGTGCTTCCTCGCATCCCGTTTCGTCACATTCTCTGTTTAGCGCTCTGCTGCTGACAGACCTACAAATTCTACACTGTATAATTTATTGATATATTTATTTACACTTATACATACGTATAATTCACAGTATCCGTCCCTCCGTCTGTCACGTTATTTATCTCGAGCTGGCCAGAAGTAAGCTTATAAAAACAGGAAGCAGCTGCTTTTACCAGGTCTCACGGTCTCTTCGCTTGCGGATTTCTTATATTTTTCCTTCTGCCCTGAAGATGGAGGCGATGCGTTCCTCCGAAACGTCGGTTAAC